AGAGTATGTTGAAGTGGTAGATAATGCCTCTTGACAAATAAAGCCAAGAACACATAACTGGAAAACAAATCAACTGAAGAGCTCTTCATATCAACAAATAATTCTCTTCGTTCTATTGAATTCAACCCTCAGTGTGCACACACACAAAGGCAAAAAATGCCTCCAAAGACTCCCAACTCTCAAATGGAAATCTAAAAGAATTAATGAAGAGAAAATCAAACACCAGACAGCTGAACTTCATGAAATAATTAAAGAGAATGCAGCAAAGCAACTCATTGAGTTCAAAGATGGCAGAACCAAAAAGATAATGGAACTGTCAAACTGAACAATATAGTTATGTAAGAAACAAATTTTTTCAATTACCAAAGAAATGGACTCCATGAAAAGGTACCAAACAGAAATCCTAGAGATAAAAATTTCTATTGAATACATAAACAACAGAAATAACCAATGAGAAGATGGGATTTCAAAAATTAAGGACAAAATGGAATCATGATGACATACTCAGAGAAACTCTAAAAACAATAGAGAGCAAGAAAAATTCATCCAACACCTACTAGATGATTCTGAGAAGACCAACCTAAGGCTAACTGGAGTCAGAGATAAAGTAGAGGATAGCACATATGGAATAAAAAAAAGTTTACAGAAATCATATCAAAAAACTTTCCAATTGTGGAGAAAGAATTGAACATAGAGGTAAGTAAGGCTTACAGAATGCCAAATAGCTATGGTGACAAAAGAAGCTTACCATGTCATATCATAGTCAAAATCTCAGAAGTCCAACACTATGACAGAATCTTAAAAGCTGTCTGAGAAAAGAAAAAAATCACTAATAAAGATAAACCCAACAGGATTACACAAAATTTAAAGGCCAGGAGAGCTTGGAGTTTAGTGTTTCAAGTCATAAAAGAAAATAATTTCCAAACCAGGATAATATATCCTGCAAAAGTGCATTATTTTTCAAAATTAACGGAGAAATAAGGACATTACATAGCAAAGAACATCCTAAGAAATTCGTGAACAACAAACCAACACTTCAAAAAATATTCAAGAATATCCTACACAGAGACATTGAAGCCAACAAAGCCAAAAAGTTGGATGGAATGAATACATCCCACATGGTGAGTGCTTAAACAAAAAGGGAAAAAATAAAAAGAGTCAACAAAAGAAAAAGAATCCAATGACAGGAATAAGTCAACTCCTTTCAGCAATAACTCTCAATGTAAATGGCCTAAACTCCCCAACAGAAAAACACAGATTGCCACACTAGATCAAAAACAAAACTCGATGGTCTCCTGTCTTATCTAGTGGTCAAGAGACTTATCTAACCCCCCAAAAATTCATACACTAAAAATCAAAGCATGAAAAACAATATTCCATGGGACCTCAAAAGCAAACATGGGTAGCAATTTTATTCTCATTCTCGGACAACGTGGACCTCAAGCTAAAATTTACCAAAGGAGGCAAAAAATGTCATTACATATTACTTAAGTGAACAATCAACAGGAAGAGATAACAATTGTATATATATGTACATCAAATATTAGTAAACCCATTTCATAAAATAAACACTACTGGACATAAAAGATCAAATAAATACAGAAATAGTCAGAGTAGGGGAATCTCCATACTGATTTCCACAGTGGTTATACTAGTCTACATTTCCACAAACAATCTAGAAGAGTATTTTTCTCCCTGCAGCCTCATCAGCTTTGGTTATTACCTTTTTTGTTTGTTTGTTTTTGTTTTTTGGTGATAGTCATTTTTTCTTAAGTAAAATGGAATTTCAATGTTGCTTTAATTTGCATTTGTCTAATAACTAGAAATATTAAATTTTTTTCATGTATTTATTGGCCATTTGTATTTCTTCTTCTGAGAAGTGTCTATTCATTTCAGTGGCCCATTTTTTAATTGGTTCTTTTATTTGGGGGAAGACCTATTTTTTTAGTTCTTTATATATTAGATATTAGATTCTGTCCAAGGAATAGCTGGCCCAAAAATCCCATTCTTTGGGTTGTCTCTAAATAAAAGATAATAGGAAACAGGGAGATAGATCTTTTGCAAAAATGAAGGAGATCAAAAGATGGAAGGAGGGGAGAGGAAAGGGAAGGGGAAAAAAGAAGTAAGATGTGTTATGTACAGGTACCAACTCCCCACAATAATGTAATTATTTTTCCCCCCATTAAGTTTATTGGTACATTTTAGGTATACACAATAATGTAATTATTATGTACTGAAAATATACATTAATAAAATAAAACAATGAAAAAGCATAGTGAGGGACCTCAATATCCCAGTGTCATAAAAGGGCAAATCAACAAAACAAAAAATTAACAGAGAAATATCAGAGTTGAACTACACCTTCAAACAAATGGACTTGATATCTTTACAGTGTTCTACCTTACTACAACAGAATAGGCATTCTTCACAGCAGCAAATAAAACTTTCCCCAAAATAGACCACTTACTAGTTCATAAAGTCTGCTTATATAAATACAAAAAAATCTAAATTATCCCACATATGTTATCAGATCATAGTACACTGAAAATGGAAATCAACTGCAAAAGAAACCACTGAAATTTTACAAACACGTGGATATTAAGTGACACACTCATGAATACTCAATGGGCTACAGAAGAAATAAAGGAAGAAATTTAATGATTCCTAGAATTAAAAAACACCCACACAACATTCCAGAATTTATAGGACACAATGAAAGCAGTCCTAAGAGGGGAATTTGTTTTTGGTACTGAGGATTGAACTCAGGACCTTGTGTTTGCCAGGAAGGCACAGTGCCACTGAGCTGCATCCCCGGCCCTGGGAGGAGTTTATTGCTGTGAATGCTCACATTAGTCAAACAGAACAAGTTCAAATTAAATAACTTAATGATGCACCTGAAGCTTCTAGAAAAATAAGAACAGTCCAAACTCAAACCTACTATAAGAAAGAAAATCATAAATACTCAAGTGGATATTAATGAAATTGAGACTAAAACATGCAAAGTATCAATGAATCAAAGAGCTGGTTCTCTGAAAGAACAAACAAAATAGAAAACCCTTAACCAAACATCTTCTGCAAAAGGTCTATCTTCCTTTCCTATTACCTACCTATTATTTTACTCTTTTAATTATTTGTATCTGGATTTTCTCATATAAGACAAACCCTGTGATATTTAACCTTATGCATGCTTTATTTTACTTCAGCTATATTTTCAGAGGAAAGTAATGATGGCTAGCAATAGTTCATTTTTGACACATATTACATATCAAAGACTTGACAAACATATATGTGATAAAAGGAAAAAAAATCAAAGAACTTCAAGAGAAAGGAAACATTCTCTGACCTTCAAATATTATATGTATTTGTTGTATGTCATTTTTAAAATTCCTAGCAAGACCATGGATTGTGATAATTTGTTACAGTAGCTACCAGAGACTAATACAGGCCCTAGAAGAGGGTTCTGGAGAATTTGGAGGGTCCCAAAAACTAGCACTCATTTTGTGGCACACACATTGCAGATGACTTACTCATTGGTGTGAAGCAGTACCTGGCTCTGCAATCTCTCTATATTCTCCCTCAGCTTCACTGTCCCCTGGCCCAAGTGCCTGTGGGTTTAGCTCTATGAGAAATGACTCTGGATCCTGCAGGATTCACTCATAATCAAGGCCCAAGGAATTGGAATTGTCACAGGCTCTATCCCAACCTTGTGAAGGTCCATCTTTTCTTTGTAAATTCCAGCTAGATCTCAATCTCCTTACTTTAAATTCATTTTCCCTTTTCATGATGCATCCAAAAAGTTATACTTTATAACAGATCGACTCATGTTCCAAAATAAATTTATGTCTTGTCTGACTGCCACAGTGGACATGAAAGAATGAAAATATAATCTAATCCAGTTCACCATTTTCCCCACAAATAATCTATGATTCTCTTAGCCCAGGGCATAGAAGCATTTATTTTTAACAACCAAGAGTGCCGTAATTTGGAATTTCCCCAAAGGTCTATGTTAAAGGTTTGGTCCCAAGTTTGAAGCTACTGGGAGGTGATGGAAATTTTGAGAGGTTGGTCCTAGTGGGAGGGCTTCAGGTCCTAGAGCATTGCCCCCAAAGAGAATGTTGGACCCTGTCTCTTTTTTCTCATCTCAGCTACTAGAACTTTATTATCTCAGGCATTTGTTACATCATGGAAAGTTGGTGAATACAGAGACTTAATAGAGAAAATAGGAGTGAAGGAGGGCCCACAAGTCCAAGAATACGGATCCTTTGGTCCCTTGACCCATCATGCCTCCTTCCCACAGAATCTTCTGCAGATGCAGATCTTTGGCCATGGGGTGGGATGAAGTGGGGCTGGATGCTGAAATTCCAGTTGGAGATTTGTATCCCTGGAAGAGTTTCCTGGTGTTCCATGAGTTTTATAAGAAAAGGAGCCTCCTTCCTTTGCAATCTCTGACGATAAATGTTTCTGTGATGCTTACAAATGGGTTACAGAAGATCTGTCTCCCTTCCTCCATATTTCTCCATTGCTTATACTGAAGGGTTGTATTAGGGGCCTAAAGAATGATGAGGGAAGTGTCGGATTTCCCTCCTTGCTTAGGAGGATATGCTCAAGTGAAACTCAATTTAGAAAAATTTAATATCATCTTTCTCAGACAAAAGAGTCATGAAGGTCAGCTAGAGTCATGTTACTGTGTCCCATGATTTGCGTGTGTCCCTTAAAATTTCTCGTCCCTCAGTGCAGTAGTATTGGGAGGAGTGACCTACTGGGGAATGTTTAGGTATGGGGACAGAGCCCTCATAAATGGATTAATGTCCTTCTGATGAGAATGAGTCAACTGATTCTGCCCTATTTTCTCTTGCTTGTGTGTGCTCTTTCCTTTTCTGGCTTCCATAATGAGGTCCTCACCAGATACATCTGCCCAATGTTGGACTTCACAACCTCTAGAACCATGAGCTTAAGTAAACTTCCTTATTTTTTAAATTATTCAGTCTCAGGCATTGTGCTATAGCAACACAGAGTGAACTAAAACACTTTATTTACTGATCTTGTGTCTTCTCCAAGCCTTTGATGTCCAACCTGATTCTTTTGGCTACAGGAAAATATTAATGTCCAATGTCCACCACTGTACAGTAAAGAGATACCCATGGAGAGCAACAGCAGAGATGCGGGCCCAGTGTCATGAGTCAATAAATGACCCAGTTACTAGATCCAGTCACTCTTCCCATGGGAAGCTGCTTCTTTCATTTCCATTCTTGGAGTTTGTGCAGTAAAGTGTTAATTTGGGTCTCTGGGGTGTTTAAAGCCTGCATATCCCAAAGAAAGGACTGATATTTGATTACCTCCTGGGAGATGACTTTTGACTTTCTGAAAAACTAGAGAGTCTGTGACTCATCATTTCAGGCCATGACAGAGTCTATGATAAAAATGTGATCTATGGTGAATCAGTGTTTGTTCACATGGTGCCTTTGGCCAGGCTGTGTCAGGCTGACCTGTGGTGAGGCTGAAGCATTAATAATTAAGTTCACCTATGTGACCAAGGGCCAAAAAAACTCTGGACACCACAGCTCAGGTGAGCTTCCTGGTGGGCAGTGCACCCTGCATGTTATCAAACATCACTGCTGGGAGAAATAAGTGCTATCAATGATTCATTCCTCTATAGGTCGAAGGGCTTACAGGAAACGTCTCTGTGGTCTCTCCTGGACTCTATGTTTGATCCATCTTTTCCCTTTGTTGATTTTAATCGATATCTTTCACTGTGATAAACCATAATCATGAATATAATGGCTTCTCTGAGCTTTATGAATCTCTATAGTGAATCACTGAATCTGTTTTGGGATCCCAACAGAAAGGTCATGAATATTGTTTTATTGTGAGAAAGTTGTTTTCTTTACCCTCTTCACTTCCACCACTTCTTGAGAAAAATAACAAGAGCTGGCTTTCCTTCTTGTTAACCCTGAAGCTTCTCCTCCGCTCAAATCCAGGAGGAATGTTTCCTCTCCTTTCTTGGTCACACTTTCCCATGAGTTCTCAGCATGTGCCCAGAGACAAACAGAGACCTTGAATAGCTTTCATTCCTGCTCCTTTATCTCACTGCGCCCCCACCCCAAACAAGCCAAGCAGAATGTGTGTTCAGCCCATGGTCAGCTGGGTAGCAGATTGTCCCCAGGACTCCCCTTCTCATCAGGCAGCAAATCTGGAGGCCCCTCACATGGCACTCTCGTTACCACCCCGACCCCTGGACACCCCCTTTTCTTGTGCCATGAGTGACTTGTAGGGCTTCCCCAGGCTGGGGAGGGTGAGTTCGGCTTCCTGCAGGTCCAGCTCCTGCTGGGATAAATGCTCAATGACAGCCGCTCCAATTGAGTCCCCCAACACATTAGTCATCGTGCGAAGCCGGTCACTAGTGGAGAGAGAAAAACTGCCATTAATGGGGGTTGGGAAGCTCCACAGGGAAGAGAGTGCAGCAGGGGGTGGGTTCCCTGAGGTGGGGAGTCCAGGCTCACATTTCTGTCCAATCCAGGACATGACCTCAAGCTGGTCCTTCCTCTTCTCTATCCTCAGTTTCCATCTTAAGATACTTAGGTTGCAATAGCTCTGAGATGCTGGATTTGTGATTAAGATGCCTTATCTGATACAGACCATTAGGGGTCATGAGCTGAAATGCATATAGAACAGGAAGGTGATCTGCAAGAGTAAATCAGGCCAGGACTGGGTCAACAGAGGTGCTGACCAGCACAGGCTGCAGAGTGTCCAAATGGGATGCGGGTTCAGCTGACAGCTCGTATATGGGGACAGAAGCCCAGATTTTGTTTTATATGAACGTTCTTTTTTTATGAAAGAAGAAAGGAAGGGAAGAAGGGAGGGAAGGGGAGGAAGAGAGGGAGGAGAAAGACAGGAGAAGGGATGCAGGGCAGGAGGGGAGAGAGGAGAAAAGAAAAAAGGAAGAAAGGAAGGAGGAAGGAAAAAAGAGATCCCTACCCAGGAAAATACTTTTCCAGTTTTCATCACATGTGACACCCTAGAACATTTTAGGCCATAAATCCATCCAAAGTAGTCCATCAAAATGATTTTACCCATCATAACAGAAATTTTGTCAATCAAAATTCATTATTTAATGTTCTAAGCATCCTGTGTTTTCTTCCCACTTATAAAACTTTTGTCTTTAGAAATAAAATATTTTTTTTAAAGATCTGTCCCATGGTTTTTATGGTTTCTACATGGAACAGGTCAAAGAGGAGCTGCTTGGGCTCATGAGTGAAGCCTCTTTGTCTCTTTCCCACTCTGCTTTCCAAGGCTAATTCAATGGACTTCAGAGTCCACAGGCCAAGGCCTGCAGGTCTCTTCAAGGGCCCCCTTTTCTCTCTAAAATTCTAGAACTCTGTCCTTGCTGAATCCTGCAGGAGGAAGTGGTGGGGCAGAGATAGCTCCAGGATCCAAAGAACACTCACAGGAACCAGTCCACTGCTATGATCAGCGTGATGTCTTCCGTGGGCAGCCCAACTGACGTGAGCACAATGACCATAGTGACCAGACCTGCCTGGGGGATGCCGGCAGCCCCAACACTGGCTGCAGTGGCCGTGATGCTTCAGGAGAAGAGAGAACATGAGAAAACAGGAGGGAAGACACAGAGGAAAAAGAAGAAGGAGAAATGGTCAGTTCTCCCAAGAAGCCTTAAAAATTAAATTCCTGAGCTGGAAAGAAAACTACTGCATGATCTCACTTATATTATAGAATCTTCAAAGGTCAGACTCATGGAAGGAAAGAGTAAAATGGTGATTACCAAGGGCAGGGAGTTTGGGAAAAAATGGCAGAGATGTTGCTTAAGGGGTAAAAGTTTCAGTTATAAGATATTCATGTACAGCATGGTGACTATAGTCAACAATACTATACTGCATACTTGGAATTTTCAAAGAGAGTAGATCTTTAGCATTCTATCAAAAAAAGGAAAAGAATAAAAGAAAAGTAACCATGTGGGATGATGGATATGTTAATTAGCTTGATTGCGATAATTATTTTACTGTGCATCTGTATATCAGATCATCACATTGTACACCTTAAAGACATACAATTTTTATTCATCAGTTAAACCTCAATACAGCTGGGGGTCAAAAATTACTGTCTATGTTTGCAGTTTGAAATGTACAAAATAAAGTTATGTGGCTCATCTTCCAAGAGCTATACAAGTTTCTTAAATGTATACCTATAACTGCAGCAGTTCACCTACCAGTATTTCAAAAATTGGGAATTCTGTTCATTTGTTATCTTTAAGATCACCTCAATTTTTTTTTTGTACTGGGAATCGAACTCGGGACCTTGCGCTTTCGAGGCAGGCAACGGAACCACAGAGCTAAATCCCCAGCCCAGGACCACCTCCAATTTAAGGGCTACCTTGTACGTTTAAAGTATAACATAACAGTGTGGTAGTTAATAAAACACTATTTTTTTTTCTTTTGAAAAAAGTTTCAGATGGGAAGAGAACCAAAGGATGGAACTGGGACAGAGGGGAGGAGGAGATTAAAAAAAAAAAAATGAGATGTGCTATGTGCACGTGCTAACTCCCCATGAGGAATGTGATCATTATGTACTGCCAACGTGTACTGATAAAAATAAAGATTTTGAAACAAAGACAAGTTTTAAATAGAAAAGTGGTTCAATACAACTCACAATGTTGGAGGTGCATGGATTCTGGACCTTATCAGACCTAAACCCGCTTGTTCTAGACCCTATTTCTTGCTCAACTGAAATGTGTTAATTTTTTTTTTTTTTTTTTTTTTGGTACCCAGGACCTTGTGCTTGCGAGGCAGGCGGCAGAACCACTGAGCTAAATCCTTGGCCCTAAAATGTGTTAAATATTTTTAATAAATTTAAAGTAGCCATTCAGACTGCACAGACTAGATGTGAAATCCTGTATCAACTCTGATTGCCCACCATGATGTGCTAAGGATTCTAAAAGCCACGGAGCTTACCAGAAAGGTTGTAGCACCCTGCAAGTGTCACGCACCCCTCTGCCCAGTGGGCTCTGAAGCCGCTTCGCAGATCCCACAACCCTAACCAGGGAGCCACGGGAGAGGCTTGTTCCTGATGACGGCTCTATCAGAACACTGACGGAGCAGATGCTTGGACCACAGATAGTGAATGAGCTTTAGAATCCAGACTTCATTCATAAGCTGGGTGAGCTTAGATCTGAATTCAGAGCCTGCATTTCCTCACACATAGGGTGAGAAGCACAGGCCCACCTTCTTATTGTGAGCAAAAAGAGATCCAGTGCTAGCAATAACAGATGCTTCAGTGGAATCAGTTATCGCTATCAAAAATATTTTCAAGAAACAAAATTTCATTTTCTGTAAGATCACCCAATTTCTCCTCTGTGTATACTATTTGGATTTGGGTTCCTTAGGGAAAGAAAAAGAGTGCAGAGCTTCACAAATGGGGTCATAAGGAGGGAATGTTTACCACCATCCTAAGGGAGGGAGCCTTTCCTCTCAGAACACTGGCCGGACATAAACCATGATCTGCAGGCGCCCTCCAGAGGCAGCCAGCTCTCTGGATGGGATGAGCCAATTTTACCTGGATCTAAAATACCAATTTAAAATTCTTCAGACTGAGTTCATATATAAGGTCCAAACTAGGAATCTGCAAGCAGCCAATCACTACCTGCTACAAAGTTCTGAAATATTACCCAGTACATCTCAACCTGGCCTGTGTCACCAAGTCTCTCTGGAGGTCCCAGGAAGAAGGTAAAAGTGACGTTCAGTCCCTTAGTCAGTGAAGTCTCGCATCCGCTCCCTTTTTCTACATTTCCCTACTCCCATGATGTCAAAGAATCCGCATAAGAAGTACTCAGCACAATGTTTGGGGTTCTGACCCCCCCAAATTTTCAAAGTGTTCCTTTGAAATTATCTTTATGTTATTCTTCCCTGCATTCTCACTTTACCTTAGAAAGGGATGGCTATGCTACCTCTAACGTGCCCAAAGACACTTGGCTAAGGCTGGTTAGAGAGTGTTTGATAAAACTATTTTTAACACATATTCATTGAGCATCTACTATATGCTAGACACCTCCAAATGCTCCACAGCTTACACTGGGGTTACATCCTAATGAATTCACTTTAAGTTCAAAATACTACAAGTTGAAATGCATTGAATATACCTAATCACCATAGCCTAGAAACCCAGTAGAATATCTATTGTTTTCCCTTATCTGACTAGGAGCTGCGGCTCAGCATCTCGAGAGAGGGACTTACCACATATTGTTAACCTAGGGAAAGATTCACATTCAAATCTGAAGTATATGCATGGCATTCATACCACTGTAAATTCAAAATATCATAAGTTGTCAGGCATACTATTCCAGCTACTCAAGGGGCTGAGGCGGAATGATCACTTGAACCCAAGAGCGCAAGACCAACCTAGGCAACATAGTGAGACTCTATCTCATTTTAAAAAAAAAAAAAAGTCAAACCATCATAAGTCAGGTCTGTAAGACCCTTCCTTAGAAGAAAATCCCTTCCCTAGCAGCTTACATTCCACTGGGATAGGGAGGCAATATGCAAGATGAATAAGTAAAACACATACTAAGGCAGATGGTGCTAGGTGGGAAAATGGATCAGCCTCAGAAAGCCCAGATGTCCCATGTTAAACAGGATTCCCTGAAAAGGTGACACTAGAACAAAGACCCGAAAGAGATGAAATGCTCCTTTTATTTTTATTCAGGTTGAGTAACCCTTATCTGAAATACTTCCAACAAGAAATGTTTCATGATTGGGGGTATTTTTCAGATTTTTTAGAACGTTTGCATGTACATAATGTGTTATCTTGGGGATGGGCCTCAAATCTAAACAGAAAATTTATTGAAGTTTCACATATACCTTACACACATAGTCTGAAGGTATTTTTTTTCAATGTTTATTTTTTATCAGTACATGTTTGCAGTACAGAATGATCACATTCCTCTTGGGGAGTTGGCACGTGCATGTAACACATCTGAATTCTCTTTTCATCCCCTCCCTCTGTCTCTTCATCCTTTTCCCTTTTCCAAAAGATCTATCTCTCTTTTTCCTACTATCTATCTTTTATTTTACTCTTTATTTACATTTTGGGTTTTTCTTACAAGAGAAGGCATGCAATATTTAAGCTTGTGTATCTGATTTATTTCACCTGACATTATGGTCTCAACGTGCATCCATTTTCCTACAATGACTCAAGTTTATCGTTCCTTATGGCAGAGTAGTACTCCAGGTAGTTTTAAATAATGGGTTAAACAAAATCTGTATACATTTAGCCACCAAAAATCAAGTGTGGAATTTTCTACTTGTGGTGCCATGTCAGAGCTCAAGAAGTTTGTTTTCAGAGCATTTCAGATTTCAGGTTTTCAGATTAGGGATGTTCCATTTATATTGGCTAAATTGGAACCACTGTGGGATGTAGCCCAGGGATCCATACTTACAACAAAAATCTTGGGTTATTAGAATGCATCACTCGCTTTTGAAAATCCAGGACAAAAGGAATCTCTCACAATGGCATGTGAGAGAAATAAGGAGAGGCACCAGGTCTTACCAGTTCCTGACAGCTTCAGGGGGCAAAGACTCACCTTTAACCTCATAGACACTTCCACCTCCAGCTTCCAATATCTGAATATAGTTTGGATCTAGAATGTTCCTCATATGTTCAGAAGTGGGGCTTTTGAAAGGTGATTGGATCATGGGAGGAGCTATATTCATCAATGGATGAATTCAAAGCTTGAATGGAGGAGGAGGGCTGGTTAGAAGAGGTGGGTCCCTGCGGGCATAACCTGGAAGAGTGTATCAGCCACCCTGGCTCCACCCTGGCTCCTCCCTTCTCTCCCTGCTTCCTGGCTGCCATGTTGTGAGCAGCTTCCTCCTGTCAGACCTTTCCACAGTGCCCTTCCTGCCTTGGAACCAGCCAACTGCGGTGAATCCTCTAAAAACTGAACTAAAATACACTTCTCTTCGAGTTTGTGGGTGCCAGGTATTGTGTCCCAGCCATGAAGAAAGTGACTTAAGGTAGCCTCTTTCTGTGTGTGTGGTACTGGGCCCTGAACCCAAGGCCTTTATCATCCCTAGCCATTTTTAGGGTTTTTAAAAATTATTTTGAGCCTGGGTCCTGCTTAGTTGCTAAATTGCCCAGGCTGGGCTGGAACTTGGCAATCATCCTACCTCAGCCTCCCAGAGTGCTGAGATTACTGTTGTGCACCACCTTGCCTGGCTCTGAGGTCTCTCATAACTTTCACCTGAATCTCTCTCCTCCCCCAAGTCATGCTGATGACCTCACAAGTTTCACCCACATGCAGGTCCCACCCAAGCCCCCTCACCTGATGGTGGTGATCTGGCCCAGGTTGAGCTCATAATTATTGACTTGAGCAATAAAGATGGCAGCCAAGGCCTCGTACAGTGCAGTGCCATCCATGTTGACAGTGGCCCCCACGGGCAGCACAAACCTGGTGATGCGTCGGTCCACACCCAGGCACTCCTCCAGGCAGCGGAAGGTGATGGGCAGAGTTGCAGAGCTGGGGGAGAGAGCCCTGGGTGCTGAGAACAGGCAGTGGAAGGGCAGAGCTGGGGCAGAAATGTGCCAAAGGTGGGGGTCCCCTTGAGAACATGGAGGGGCCAGGAGAGGATTTGAGCGAGAGGAGGGCAGAAGTATAACAATCCAATATAACTTTACATGAGGAAAAGGGACTCATGGTGATGCAGGGGGAACTCAGCAGTGGGGATCCCCCACCCGAAGGTCTCTTGACCCACTTAAAGCCAGTAACTGAAGACCCATAGTTTATGCCACTAGACCATTCCCAGAGGATAAAGGTCTGCTGACTCCCACACCATAGGGCAAAGAGAAGGACGTTATGGAAGACCCCCTGTCCCCACTCCCCATGTTCACACAGAAAGCAACCTAAACTTCACTACTCTCTCAGTCTCTCCCTAACCACTTCCTGGAGAAGGAAGAAAGACTTCACTGATCAATGAGTTTAGTGGAAGGAATGGGCACCCCATTGGGAATCAGCTTGTCCACAGACATGTGCCCTATCTGGTCAGCTTTATGTCATACAGTGAGAAGCCTGCCCTCACAGGGAGGACCTTTGGGTGTCCAGCTCCCATGGTGACCTGGTGAGTTTAATTTGGGGAAGAGTGGTGCCAATCTTGTTTGGGCATACACCAAAAGGCACATTCTCCAGTCAACATGTGGGCAATAAAAAATGGTATTTTTCTTCCATCTGTTTGGCTCCTGGGATCCTTTTTCAAATTGCTCTGAATTTTGATGATCAGAGTATAAAGGAAGCTCCTTATTAACCTTTTAAAAGGACAAAAATATAATTGGAGAAGGATGTCAAGAGAGCTGTGAGACTCCATCTCAGAGGACAAAAAGACCCTTTGAGCTAGAAACTATTGAGCTCACAGGAAGTTTCATCTTAAATTCAAAATGGACACCTACCTGGTTTTCCTCCATACAAAATGGAAAAACAGCAAAGGATAAAAGGGGACCAGGAAAGCCAGCCCAAGATAAAGACCGACCGGCCTCCAGATGTTGCCCACCTGCCTATCTCCGTGAGCCCCCAACATTACTGTACAACCAGAAGAGATGTCTATGGCAAGGGAGGACTGGGCCCCCAGAAGAGCCCACGAAGGATGAGAGATGGAACCAGGGGAGGGGAGAACAAGGCCATACCTGGAAGACGTGCCCATGGCAGTGATGAGCGCCTGCAGCAAGCCCCCGATGAAGGGGAAGGGGTTCCGGTGGGTGATGAGGAAGTAGATGAGGGGCAAGACACCACCGGCATGGAGGAACAAGCCCACAATGACAGTCAGTGTGTACATCCCCAGCTGGCCTCCAAGGACAGCCATATCTTCCATTTCCAGAATCTTCCCAGCAATCAAGAACAGGATACCCACGGGCGCATACCTGGGCAAGTCACACATCTGTTAGATGATGTATCCCTCACCTTTTTGTTTTCCAGTACTAGGAACTGAACACAGGGCTTCTCACATTGAGCTGCAGTTCCATTCCTATTTTGAGACAAGGTATCATTAAGTAGCCCATGCTGGGCTCAAACCTGCAATCCTCCTGCCTCAGCCTCCCAAGTAGCTGGCATTACAGGTACACACATCACTGCACTCTGCTTTGGGATCTCTTCTAGCCTCCCCTACAAGTCTGAAGCTAGGTGGTTTTTTTTTTTGGTACTGGGGATCGAACTCAGGTCTTTGTGCTTGCACAGCAGGTGGTGAAACCACTGAGCTAAATCCCCGGCCCTGAAGCTAGATTTTTAAGGCTGTTCCCATACAGAATCCCGGACCTAGGCAGTGCCTACCATACTGCACTCGACTCCACACCATTCCCCATACATTAATAATCCCACTTCCATAAACACCTCTCCTTTCCCCCTGCTCATTCACAGCTTACCCCAATAGCAGAAACACTCCTAAATGGCAGGGCATACAACCTTATGAAGTTTTCATCTCAGCGCCCCCATTCAAACTCCTCCCCATCCAACCCCAAATAATCATGACCCTCAGGATCCCTTTCCTAGACCCTGAAACACCCCCTCTCCTTGACCTTATAAGCTTCCATTATTTGCTGCCTCCAACTCTGTTCTCATTTGTAACCCTGATGGCCCCCTTATCTTTCCTGTCAGCAGATATTCTCACTCGTTCACCAGCCCGAGCTTTTTCACTGTATTTCCCACATCTTGAAACAACTTTCCTATCAACATTGTCTATGTAATCTTCACTTATTCAACAATTATCCATCAAATATTGTCAGGTGCAATGGTACATAATGTTAGGGAAAAACCATTTGATTAGGCCTAGTTCTTCTGTCTACAGCCCAGCTATGGCATGTCAAGACATAATTCCATTTTGGCCCCGGTCACAACTGAGACCTCAATGATCCGGTGATGCTGTGATTCTCCAGGACAAGATTACACCAGCGGGAGACATCCCGGGAGGAACAAACATCTACTCAGTTCCTCATTGTTCTTGGATTGCTACACTTTTATGTTTATCCCAATGTACTAACCTCTCTGCAAGTCATTTGTTACATTTGTTTCTCCCGATTTACGGTAAGCTCCGGGCTTTCTCTTTGCTGCCCAGAGCAGCACTGATCAGGCCCAGAGCTCAGCTTCTTCTCAAAGTCTCATTTTTTCTACCTTTCCTACATAGTAAGTTAATTTGCCTTGTGCTGCTGTGGCTTGCAGGAGACTAGGACTCACTGCAGAGGTCTTAGTAACATCCCCTTTCCCTGTTACCTACAGAGTATCTACTGTGTTCCAGGTACACACTCCCTGTCCCCGTGTTGCCTACAATGGGCTGAATACATGTGTCCCCCAAAAGAGTCATATATTGAGATGCTGATCCTCAACATGGATATGGAGACTTTGGGAGGACATGAAGCTAGACCCTTCATGAGTGGGATTTGTGCTTTTATAAAAGAAACCCCAGAGAAGGCCATCACTCCTTCCACCTTACCGGCACCATAACATAGCCCTGGCCAGACAGCAAACCTGTGGGTGCCTTGATCTTGAACTGTCCACCCTGCAGACCCTGAGAAATGAATCTGTGTGGTTTAAACCTCCCAGTCTGTGGTATTTTGGTTACGGCAGCCCAGGTGGACTAAGACACAGGAGGTGCACGTAGAAATGCATACAGCAGCTCCCTCTAATCCATGGAGGATACATTCCAAGACAGTCCTCAGATGCCTGAAACCATGAAGAGTTTCACATTTTTCCCTATACATACACACCTATGATAAAGTTTATTTTTTGGAGGAAAAGGTACTAGAAATTTATTTATTTATTTATCAGGAGTAAATGTTCGTCATATGTAATTTTTACATTCCTCGTGTGGACTTGGTACATGCACATGACGCATCTTAATCCCTTTCTAGTCCCTTTTCCCTCCTCCTCGTCCTCCTCCGCTCCATCTTTTCATGCCCTTCCAGTCTGAGCAACATCTACCTCCAAATTTCCCATTATCTTTTATTTTGCTCTTAATTAAAAACTTGGGTTTAATTTATAAATTAGGCACAGTAAGAAATTAAATAATGTGAAGAGCAAAAGAAAAGACAGCTAGTAGAAAATGAGGAGATAGATCTTTTGTAGAGGAGAAGGGGACCGAGAGATGCAGAGAGGGAAAGGAAGGGGGAAGTAAAAAATAATTGAGTTGTGTTATGTACGTGTACCAGCTCCCCACAATGCATGTAATCATTACGCACTGCAAATGGGTACGAATTAAAATAAAAATTAAAAAATAAACAAAACATAAGAAAGAGATCAACAACACTCACAATAAAAAATTATACAAATGTAGAGGAATAAAAATTATTTAAACCTATGAATGATTTATTTCTGGGGTTTTCTATCTAATATTTTTTGGAGCATGGTTTACAGTGGGTAAGTGAGCCCCACAAACAGCAAAACCGTGGATAGAGGGAGCTGCTGTAAGTACAAATATCAAGTGGGAAGAAGAACATGAGAGAGTCACTGGAGGGGGCTGCTTCTGAGTGGATGGTCAGGGAGGACTTCTTGGAAAAGATAACATTCAAGCAGAGGCCTGAAGGGTGAGAAGAAATCACACATATCTGGGGAGAAGCATCGCAGACTCAGTGCAAAATCTCTGAGGCAGGGGGAGACAGAAGTGCTACAGGACCAGACAGGACCAGCATGGCTGGAGCAGTGACAGAAGGAAAGCAGAGGAGACAAGAGGAGCAGGTTCATCAGGGTTCACCTGTTTTCCCACTGCCTTCTTCCATTTCTGCTGCTATAAGAGAGTGTCATAAACTGGGTAATTTACAGAGAAAATGAATTTCTCACAGTTCTGGGGGCTGGGAAGACCGAAATCAAGGTACCAGCTTCTGAAAGGTCTTCTTGCCATAACATGGTGAAAGCCATCAAATAAACGACAAGGGGAGGGGAAGCTATACCTCAGGTCTCTCTCACCCCTCTTATTAAAACAGTAACTCCTTATGGGGACCCCACTATTAGGACCTCATCTGATCTTATTACCTCCCAAAGGCCCTATGTTCAAATCCAGTCAACATATGAATTTGAAGATTAACTTCCTGACACATGAGCTTCTGGGGAACACATTCAAGCCACGGCATCTAGAAACCAGCTCACCCCTCAACCCTGGGAGTGTCTGTCAGTGCCACTTTCGTTCACACCCCCCCAGGCTTCCTTTTTTGCTGCTCTGTCTTTAGGAGTTGAAGTCCATTTGTGGTCACTCTCAGGTTGGATGCCTTAGAGGAGATGGGGACCGCTCGGAAAACTGGTGCGATAGCGTGGGTCAGAAATGAGGTCACAGGATGATTTGTCCAGTCAGGGTACACTTTGGTGTGTGGTTGCAGAGTTATCTCTAAAACGGCATGTCTAGATCTATCTCTATGCTATGTAATCTTCTCAGCTGCCTCACCTCCTCTTTCTGCTTCATCCCCTGTAAAATTCCTCAACCCTGGATCCCCTGCACATGACTTCTTGCCTCTGATACTCAGCTACTTGACACATCTGTACATCTCACCCAACCAGGCCAATTTGCCCTGCTATAAATATCCATGGTTCTCAATTTGACTGAGCCTTCAATTCTCCCTGTTCATCTTCTGCGTAGCCTTGATAAGCTCACCCTTCCATTCCCCTTAGATGCTTCTTCAAGTTGCCACTTTGGCCTAAATCCCCCTAAACAACAATGAATCTAGTAACCTTAAAATGATTCGGGATGATGCTATGGTTTGGATAGAATTTGATTGTGTCCTTCAAGGGTTCCCAAAGATTCATGTATTGGGATTTTTGTCTCTAGTGTGGCAAAACTGAGAGGCAGTGGCAGCTTTAAGAGGTGGAGCCTGGTGGGAATTCCTTGAAGATCCCTTCCTTCAATTTGGCTCCTGCCTTGCCTTATAATCTCCCCTCTTGCATGAATTTCCATCACTGTGATGCTATCTACCAATGAATAAATCATTGCAAAACCAGGAGGCCTTCACCAGAGCTGAGCTGCTCCACCCCCTTTGCCTGATGCACTGCTCTCCTCTGACTCTCCAGTTAAGAGTCCACATGCTTTTCAAGACCCAGCTAAGAAACCAACCTTCTCCATGACTCCCTCCTGATCTTCCAAGTAGCATTCACTGCATATCCCTCCATTCACTGCTTGCTTCTGCACATTCCCAACACTTTATTAACGTCCCATTACTCCAGAACCTACCGCTTGGTGTGATATTTATCTAGTATGCATCCGCCTCCTCCCAGACTATGAATGTTCCCTGAAGACAAAGTATGCATTCAATGTATCTCTGTATTTCAGAGTTCAATACAAAGTTGCCCTGGAAAAATGCCTGCTGGATGAAGGAAAGGTGTAGTGAAGGAGTGACAGAATTTAGAAATGCATGAATGCATCCACTAAGGAATAACTAGTGAGCCCATAAATAAGGGAGAAAAGAGCAAATGAGACATGAGTGAATGGACGCATGAATGAAGGAACTATTTAGGAGGAAATGAGAGAATAATAAATGCATAGATGAATGAGTGGGTCTAGCAAAGAATCCAAATAAATACTTGACTTAAATAAATAAATGACTCCACGATGTAACTAATGCATGGATAAATTTATGAATGGATGTATGAGTGAATTAACTGATGCAAAAAAAATAAACAAATAAGAAAATATGAGTGAACCAATGCGTAGGAGAACGAAAATAAATGAATGAATTAAGCGCAATATCTCTAAATGAGGGTAATTTATCTAAATGGATGATGAATAAATCATTACAAAAATAAACTTATTGCAAAAAAGACATAAGTAAATGAATGAATGAGTTGGTGAATGAATGAATGAGAAAACTGTGAACCAATGCATGGAAGAATGAATATAGATGAAAAAATGAATAAATGATTTCGTCAGTGCATAGAAAAATAAGTGAATGACAGACGAATGAAGGTGTGAACAAGTGAATAAATCATTGCAGAAAATATGAAAAAATGTATGAATGAGTTACTGACTAGGTTAGTGGTGAGTTAGCCAGTACACAGATGAGTGACTTTGGGCAAAGTCAGCTTCTGCAGCTTCTGCACAGCCTGCTTGGTCCCAGCCCTAGCTACTCCTTTCCCGTGATCACTGCTGACCACCCAGGCCCAGTCCAGCACTCACCAGATAATGATGCCCACCAGCCTCATAATAGCCTCATTGAGGCTGTCGAAGAAGTCCCTCAGGACTCGTCCCTTGTGTTTCATGCCACCAATGACCAGCCCGAAGGCCACAGAGAAGACCACAAGGCCCAGGGCATTGATGCCATTGGCAGATCCAGGCACAGGAACAGTCTCCTCAAAGCTCAGCACCTCCTGCAGGGTGCCCAAGGCCCGAGTGACATTTTCCAGAAAGCTGGTTTCGTTCTCCACTGACGAGGGAGGAGGCATGGAGGCACCCAGCTCAGACCCGTTCTCTGTCCTCACGATGGTCCTGGTCACCACCCTTGTGCTGTACTGCGTCTTGAACTGAAACACAGAAAGATCCGGCCCAAACAGCTCAGTGCGTACATCAGAACCACCTGAAGGAATTCCTGAGAATACCAATTCTAGTTCCTGCACCATGGAAAGTCTTACTCAGCAGATCTGAATGAGTAAATGAACGATTAATTCAAATAATCTGACCATGCAATGCACAGAAGAAGGGGTGAATGAAATGCTACAGCCATTATGGAATACAGTGTGGAAGTTCCTCAGAAAGTCAGAAATAGAACTACTGTGCGATACAGGAATCCCACTGCTGGGTATGTAGCCAAAGGAAAATAAATCAGTATCTCTTCAAATCTTGAAGAGATACAGATTGAGCATTCTTAATCCAAAAATCCAAAATGCTGCAAAATCTGAAACTTTTTAACCATCAACATGATGAAAATTTCAAACTGACCTCATCTGACAGGACACAGTCAAAACACAAGTGCACTAAAAATACTGTATAAAATTGCTTTCACACTATGTTTGTAAAGCATATGCGAAACAAATGAATTTCATGTTTAGACTTGGGTCCTACCCCGCAATGTATCTTGTGAGATATATGCAAATATTCTAAAAAAAAAATTTTTAATTCCAAAATGTGAAACACTTTTGGTCCCAAGCATTTTAAATAAGGGATAGTCAACCTGTATCTGCATTCCTATGTCTGCTGCAGCACTACTTAAAACAGTCAAAAAATGAAATTAACCTAAGTGTTCATTGATGGATATACAATGAATATGTGTTATATATACAGGATGGAATACTATTCAGCCTTTAAAAAGAAGGAAATCTTGTCATTTGCAACAACATGGGTGACCTTAAAGAACATTGTGTTTAGTGAAATATGCCAGACATAAAAAGTTAAATACCATATGGCCTCACTTATATGTGAAATCTAAAAAACTTGGTATCATAGAAGCAAACTTTAGAATGGAGGTCATCAAAAGCTGAGATGGTTGGTGGTGGAGGACTGGAAAATGTTGGTCAAAGAATATGGAATTTCAGTTAGATAGGAGCAAGTTCAGAAGCTCTGTCATACAACATGTTACTATGCTTAATAACAATGTATCATGTAATTAAAAATCACTGAGCAAGAGAATAGATTTTTCAAGTGCTCCTAGCACAAAAAAATAATTAAATCCACAAGATAATCCATGTATTAATTATCTTGACTTAGCCATTCCACAAGGTATACATATTTCAAAGCATCATGTTGGAGCCTATCTACTGTAGGCCTTCCATATCCGTGGGTTCTGCATTCACGGATTCAACCAGCCATGGGTCAAAACTACTGGAGCAAAAATTCACTTCTATACTAAACATGTACAGACCTTTTTCTTGTCAGTCTTTCCTAACAATACAGCTCAACTATTTTCGTAATATCTGCACTGCATCAGATGTTCTAAGTCATCTAAAGATGATTTAAAGTATACAGTAGGAGAGTCTGTGCAAATACTCTGCTATTTTATATACGGGTTTTGAGCAGCTACCAATTTTGGAATCTGCTGGGGACTCTGAAATCAGATCCCTGCCAATACCAAGGGATGAAGTGAGTAAATGGATAGATGCACGAGGGAGAGAATAACCAATGAACAGAAGAATAAATACAGAGTCTGCATTTATTTTCAAGCTGCCTTGGCAATGCTCAGCCAGATTGTGGGGCCTCTGCCTTCAACATCTATGGTCATGAGTCCTGGAATCCTCACCCAGCCTCGTGCCTCCTCTAATCCCAGCCCAGGCAGCCCACGGCTTCAATGGTTCTCTCTCACCCTCTTTTGATTCTCAGACTCATGAGATCCATATTCATTCTCCCAGACTCCTCCAAAGTCCCTGCCCACTCCTCCCTCAGGCCCTCCTACCCACCCTCAGCCTTAGGTCACCAAATCAGCAGCGAGCCCCCCACCCTCCAAACCTCTCAGTCAAACTGTATACTTGACCCTGACCTGTTTGAAGCAGGCCTCCACAAGGTTGGGTGGGAACATATTTCTGCAGAAAAACATCAAAGCAAAGGATGTGGTTAGACTTTGAAAGAGAACCCGGGGTGATCACTGTAATGAAACATCAACAATAAACGGCAGTCTACATACGACTGCTTAGTCTAGATCAGGCACTGAGCAAAGTTTAAATCATCTGATTTAAACACTACAATAACCTAGAAGTGAATGCCACTAACATCATAGTACACACCAAGAAACCAAAGCACAGAGAACATATTAAGTTACCCAGGGCCATACGGCTGCTAAAAGGTGCAGAAGGATCTTGCAATGTTTTGAGTGTGGTTTGTCTCCTCCAAAACTCATGTTGAAATTAGATTGTGAATTGTGGTGGTGGTGGGAGGTAGAGCCCTAAAGAAGTGATTAAGTCATGAAAGTTCTCACCTGATAAATGGATTAATCCATCCATGGACAATGAATTTATGGGCTAATGGGGAGTGGCTTTGTTATCAAAGCAAGCTCTCTCTGGTACCTTTGGTCTGTCTTGCCTTTGGGATGCCCTCCACCATGTTATGAGGCCCTCACAAGATGCCAATTCACACTCTCAGCCTTCCCAGCCTCCAGAAACACGAGTTAAATAAACCTATTCTTTATAGCTCACTCAAGTCTCAGGTATTCCGTTACAGCAACAGAAAACAGACTAAAACAGACCTCAAAGTCAGGTCTGTCTGAGCCTTACCAGAATCCATGTCACTGCAAGACCTTATTTCAAATACACATACTAACGATAACCTCAAAAAAATCACAAACAGTTCTTAAACTCCTCCAACTCCATGTTCACCCATTTGTGTGACTAGGGTAGAAATATGGCTATAGCCTTGATTCTGGATGGCAAAATCTGCTGCACTGAAAGAATCCCAAAGGAGCTGGGGAACACCAGGCAGACAGCAGTTGTTCAGACCCCATGCCAAGATGCTACAGCTACAGCCTCCCCAGCCTAAGGGTGCAAAGATTCTATCCTAGGTGAAGCTCTCTTGGAAAACATATGCAAGGCTCCAGGATAAAAAAACGAGTACCCAAAATAAGAATTTAGTGACGCTTCCATTTCCTGACTGAGTCTACCTGACCCTTTCGTGTCTTCTTAAATGAGTTGTTGCTTGTACAACTGGAAATCCCATCAAAATAAGAAAGAACAGCACCTGACCAGGTCCATGAAGGCGTCAGCTGTGGGGATGGTCTCGATTCGACCCTCGCGGTGCAGCCCCTCCTTGGAGCCCTTTCCAGGATGTATGATGGTGACCATGAGGATGCCGATGAAGACCGCAATGACTGTAGTCACCATGTAGTACACAGCTGCCCGCATCCCCATGCGCCCTGTTGCCTTGTTGTCCAGGGATGCCATACCTGAAGGACAGATGATGCAGCCCCCAATTTCCCCATCCAGACCCCACCACCCACTCTCCCATCCATCCACTCCATCAGCACAACAACCATCCAACTAAGCATCCCCTTCTCCTACACCCTATCTCAGAACCCACCCAGAGCATATTCACCATGCCAACAATCCACCCCTAATTTCCTTACACTTCGGCACATCCCTTGTTATTCTCTATCCCAAACCCAAGTGCACTAAAAGTTATTACATTCTCTCTACTCCGAGCCAACTTTATCAACTCTCACCCACCCTCCACTGACCTTCATGCTGCACCAGAACCTCATTTTTCATTCCACTCTTCATGATACTGTTTATCTCACATGAAATCTCCCTCCAATCCAGTTCATCGTACCCTCTCTGAGTAGATACTGTTGCTGCTCCACCCAGATGTCCCTGACAGCCTAATGCACCCGTTCTTCAGCTGGATGTTGGCTGCTAGCAACTCAGGATGGCCTCTTTTCCTGAGAACTGCCCTCAGCAGAACAGGAGGTGACTGACCCAGAAAGGTCTCAAGGGGATCCTACAGCCAATGACTGACTGGTACAGAGATTCAAAAGATCAGTTGTTTTCACTCAACTAGGGCCAAAATTGGGGGGGGGGCGGGTTCCATGGTGCTGTTCACGCTCCACAGCTCCCTGTGTGATCAGGCTGAGAGACCAGCCTTCTTCTGAACACACATCTTTGTTTAGTATCCTTCCCCATAGAATCCTGCTTCCTTCACCTCTTTATGGGTTTCTCATTCACAAGTCATTTGTGCAAATATCCTCATCTCAGGCTCTACTTGTAGGAAACACAACCTAAGAAACCACTTGTTCATTCATGCCTTGATTTTCATGTGTATCCCCAAAGCCTAGGATTAGCAAACTAGTACCAGGGCCCCACTATTTGTTTCTGTAAATAAACTTTTACTGGAACACATGCATGCTCTATATTGCCTATGACTGCTTTGGTGCTACAACAGCTAAACTGAGTCATTGCAATAGGAACCAAATGGCCCTGGAAGCTGAAAATATTGCCTGATTACCCCCAGAAAGAATTTGAAGACCCCTGAATAATCCATCTACATTCCCATCCCACCCCATCCTCCATCCTAACACTTCCACCTCACTCACCTTCTACACTCTCATCCATATCCCATGCCCATCCACCTCGTATTCTAGCTACCTTCTCTGGCTGTCCCTCCCTCTACAGCCTTTCCTTCCCCTCTGGATAATGCTGACCTATGTACAGGCTGTCATTCTGCTTTCCAGCAAAAGTACAAGAACATACACTAAGTTAAGTGGGTTGGGTCCTATGCAGGCTAGAACCGGAGTTTGACTGAGACTGGTTTTGGGTAACGATCATGGGCGCCATGGCTGAGATGTTGAGTTGGGAAAGTGATCCCATACTTGGGATAACTTTGGTTTTCTGCTCAAACTGGGGATCTGAATGGGTCTTGGAGGCCAGCACTGGCCTGGGCTCTCTCACCTGTGACCAGGCTGGAGACAATGAGGGGCAGCACCAGCATCTGCAACATCCTCATGAGAAGCTCACCAGGAAAAGAGAAGTACTTGATCTGCCGGTAAGTGAGCTGGTACGGGCGCAAGGCAAAGGCCAGACTGACACCTAGAGTCAAAAAGAGGGGTCTGTGGAGTGGAGTGTGGGTCAGTCAGCCCCAGGCAGGGTCCATCCACCCCAAGAAGAGTGGGTGTAATGGGCAGCAAGAGAAAGAAACATTCTGACTGTGTGCACTGGTGTGTGCACAACGCAAAAATGTAAGAATGTGTCACCATATGATATGTGTGCAAACATATATATGTCTGCACCCATTCATGCACGGGTGTGCATGCATATATGATGGTGCATGTTCAACTGTGAACACATACATGCCTATACGTGTGAGCCCATACACATGAACAAGCGCATGCATTTCCCTGGATGTGCATCGTGTGTATGTTTTCAAACATGGGGGTGCATGTTTATTTAAGGTCATAAGTATGTGGATATATGCTGAGGAAAACATACACCTTTGTTCACATGAACTTGGACTTGTGTTCATAAGTTCTAGCAGAACTGGCCCCTCATATCCTCAGGTTCTACATTGTGGAACCAACCAATTACAGATGGAAAACGCTGGGGAAAAAATTTGCACTTGTATGAAACCTATAGGCTTTTGCCTTTTCATTATTCCCTAAACAATACAGTATAACTACTTGCATGGTGGTCACTGTATCAGGTGTTCTAAGTCATATGGAGATGATTCCAAGTATAGAGGCGTAAGTGCTTAGGCTATGTAACAACACACTACCTTATCTAAGGGACTTGAGAATCCACGGATTTTGGTACCCATGAAGATCCTGAAACCAATCTCCCTTTGCGGATACCAAGGAACGACTATATATTCACACAAGTGTGCACGAGAGTTTGTTTGCACCTGTAAATCCTGTGCATCCATAAAACGTGCTTCTGCTTGTGTGCATATGTAGTGCACATGTAAACTATGTCTGTACAAGCGTGTGCACGGGCATATACATGTGACACCGTGTGCACACACAGCTGTGTTTGGAGAGGTGCGTCTTCAGAGTGGCCTAGGGGAGCAATAAGTGCAAGGTCATCGCAAGTGAGAGCGAAGGGGTGGGGCGAAGAGGGGTTCCCGGAAGTCCCGCCCCCGCAGGCAGAGCTCACCAATGACCACAGCGCTGACGGTGAGCAGGATGAAAGCATTGCGGCGCAGGAAGCGCAGCACGCGCTCGCGGGTCAGGGTCTGCAGGCGCAGGCGCGTGCGCAGCGCCCTCTGCTGCAAACTGTCTCGCAGCCGCTGCAGCCAGCCGGTCCGACCCAGGCGCTGGCCGCTCTCCCGCAGGAACAGACTGTTGCCGTGGCTGCTCATCGTCTATCTGCGGGGGACAGGGGAGCCCGGGTCTGGTGAGGGAGGGACCGAAGCCAAGACGAGCGCAAACAGATAGGGTAGGGTGTTGGGTCCCGGAGGAACCTCGGAAGGCAGGGGAGGGGCGAAGTCTGTCAGGTTGGGGTGCACCGGAGGTTCCAGGTCGCGTACTGGCAACAAAGGTTAAGGTCTCCAAAATTATTCCCAGGCCTAGCTGGGAAGAAGCAGGGCAGAAAACCACAAAATAATGGATGCTTTTGCCATCTCCTGCTTCTAGACCCCTCTTCATTTCACTGAGATCATAAGAGACCATTGCGGGGCTGGCCTAGCCCGCAAACCAAACTAACAAGCCTTTGTACATCCCAACCGAGAGACCTGGACATAGCACCTTGAGGCTGGTCCCCGAAATGAGCACAGTTTGTTGTCCAGCCCTACCCACCCCCTTTGACCTCCCACAAGGACAAAAATCACCAGGCAAACAGTAGGCATCCAATAAATGCAGCTTCTCTGCATGCACTCTCAGGGGAGCAAAAGAAAGAGGGGAGTCACTTGGGAAAGATGGGGTGACAGTTCTTGGCCTCAGGGTGACTGATTCGCAGGAGTTTCCCTGGAGTGTCAGAAACGATACTAGGTTATTTCCTAAAATTCACTTTAGTGTCTCCCCTACATTTGGCTTTTTTTTTTTTTTGACCGGGGATCGAACTCGGGTCCTTGCACTTGCACAGCAGGCGGCAAAACCACTGAGCTAAATCCCCGGCCCAATATTTGGCTTTTCCATGCATCCTCATTTACTTTTTTTTTTTTTTTTTAAAGTACCAAAAATGGAAATTAGATCACACCAATGTTATATTTTTCATTTCTTCTTTTTGCCATACTGTGGCTTGAACCCAGGAAAAAGTTTCCTTCACACTGAGCTACATCCCCAGCCTTTTTTTTTTTTTTTTTTTTGAGACAGGGTCTTGCTAAGTGGCTAAGTTTCCCAGGCTGGGTTCAATTTGCAAACCTTTGGGTTCAACTCCTAGAGTACTGAGATTACAGCCATGTGCCACTATGCCTGGCTTATATTTTTCATAAATGCTAAATTAAATACACAGAAAAATAAAAACCTGCTCATCTGTTTTTTTCTCTAAACACCTCACATTATGGGGTGAAGCTTAGAAATTGTGACTTTCGTGAACCTGAGGAACTTCTCCCTTCCCGGATCCCTTCCTCCATTAAAAAAAAGAAAAGTATGTTAAAATTATACTTTACAACTGCATTGGTATAGAGATAAATATATACAGTCCTAACTTACAATGTTTTGATTTTACAATGGTACAAAATGTGATACTCATTTGGTAAAACTGTACTTTGAATTTTGATCTTTCCCCAGGCTAACTATAACCAGTATACTACTTTCTGGTGATATTTGGCAGCAGCAGCAAGCTACAGCTCCCAGTCTGTGCCTTGATGAGGGGAAATGCTGACACTCTACTGGGGATTGTGTCGCTCAGCTGTGGTGTTCAGAAGCAGATTCAATACTTTTTTTTCCCCAGGTGCTTGGGATGGAACCCAGGGCCTGGCACACATTAGGCAGCCAGGCAAATGCTTACCACTGGAGCTACACCCCCAGCTTTTTAATGCATTTTGACTTAGAAAATTTTCAGTTTACAATGGATTCATCCGGACATTGCGCCCTCACAAGTCAAGAAGCCTCTGTGTGTTATCGTAGAACTGCACAGCACTGAGGAAGTATTAAATGCCACTGAATGCAATGTTTGATTTTGTTATGTACATTTAACTTCAACTTAAAGAGTGGGTCTATCGATATCATATTTTTAAAGCATTTTCTTTGACCTAAAAGTTTAACTGTTTTTTTTTATTTTAAAAGAAATTAAAATGCTTCCTTCAGTCTCTGAAATTGTCATGAGCTTTAGACTCTGGGCCTTCCTGCCTGGGAAGAGAAGCAACCCCGGCCTGCATGGACCTCCCCGAATCCCTGTGCCTGGTGTACTGGAATTCTGTTCACCCTTTTCTGGGCTGACCCTCAGCCTCCATCTCTCATTGGCATCTCCTTCAGTCTGGCCAATGAAGAATGGTGGCCAGAAAACAGATCCCTGTGTGACAGCAGCTCTGTTCCTCTGCCTATGACCACGTCTCCTGTGGGACAGTTTTCTGCTACAGCCAGGACTCTCCGAGTCCCTCCCCTGCCTTTTCAATCCTAGAAATGGTAACAGCTCCTCTCAGATGCTGGCCCCAAGTGCTACAACAACTTCGTTGACTTCTTTTGAAGCTCATATTTTTGTAAAGTGATGGTGCACATTTGTAATCCACCACTCTAGCAGGCTGAGGCAGGAGGACTGCGAATTTGAGCCCACCCTTGGCAAATCAGCCACTTAGCAAGATGCTGTCTCAAAATTAAAAATTAAAAGGAGGGGTGAAAATGTAGCTCAGTGCAAAGACCCTTCATTCAATCCCCAGTGTGGCAAAAAGGAAAAAAAAGAAAGAAGTCTTTATCCTAAACTCTTCAGTTCCTTTTCAATGTACTGAGTCCTGACGAGTAGATTCATCTGACTCTTGGAAAAAAGGCCTCCAAACCAAAGATGGTCAGTATTATACCCTGTGCTGGACTCTCTGCCTTTTTGGATTGCCTGAGTGTCACGTCTATAAGGAGAATCTGGCTATCCTAGCTATTTTCTGAGAGATCACATCCCCCCATGCCTGTCCTCACCCCCAGCTTCACCCCCAGTACCTGAATTCACCCAAGTAAGGGCTAGGAGTCTGTTGGTCTCCGTTCCACCATTAGGTGGGTTCTTGGTTGTGCATGCTTGTGTGTGCCTACGTGTGTGTGTGTGTCTGTGTGTGCGTGTGCACGTAAGGCCACTGGCTGAGCAGCTGCCTTTCTACAGTTAGACTTTTGCTCCAAACGGACAAATGGGTAGGTCGCTTGACTCTACAATGTTGCTTCTCATGTCTATGAAAAACCATAGATACAGAGCCACAGAATACATAGAAAATTGAAAATCCCTTGTTCACCTCTGGGATCCTATATTCCCAGTCACCAAGTGGCAGCATGAAGTTATCCATGGATCCCAAGAAGGTGTGTTTAACTAAGATCTAAACTAAACAGGTACACACTAAAGCCTGGAGTTCTGTCTCTTTCCTTTCTCTTCCTTACAAAATGTAGTACGGTATAGTTTGTCCCCCATATCTGCCACTTTGCGTCCATGGAATCAACCAATCTCCGATCAAAACTATTCAAGGTAAAGTGTGTGCTTAAGCATGTGCAAAGCCCTAGGTTCAATTCCTAGCACCAAAAGAAAATTGCATCTCTACTGAGCATGTATAGGTTTTTTTCTCTGGTTATTCCCTTGCCAATATAGCATAACAGCTATGCAAATAACATTTACATCATATTAGGTGTTACAGTAATCTAGGCAGGATTTAAAATACACAGGAGGATTATGTCACTTTACATAAAGGAATTGAGTATCTAAGACTTTTCTCCCTGGAGATCCCTGGAGCCAATCCCTGCAGATACCTAAGGAAAACAGAGCCGGAGTTGACAGAAAGTATAGTTTACAAGTCAAATCTGGCCCATTCCCTAGTTTTGCAAATAAAGTTTTATTAGTATACAACCATGTCTTTTCATTATGTATTATCTACAGCTGCTTCCAAGCTACAATGGCTGAGTTGAATTCTCGGAACACAGGTTGTATTAGCTGAGAAGATAAAAATATTTACTCTCTAGCCCTTTATTTAAACCCCCCCCCCCAAGCCTAGAGAAAAGCATACATGAGTTTTTTATTTCAAATACCAACTCCATCTTGCAGGAACTGGCCTAGGGCTGCTGCATGGCTTACGTGGCCCCATATACTTGATACTTAGAGTATCCCAGGGGAGCCACAAAATAGATGCCAAATGTGACAGATAAATGCAGAAACCCTTCCCACACAAAATCAAGGGCAGAGAAAAATGCAGAAGTGGGAGACTCTTCTTATCAGCTTTTCTCAGTCCTGTCTGCACTACCCTAAATATATACAGTTGTGATTTGTCAATTAAAAGTAGTGCTAATTTTTTTATTTTTAATCGACGTATAATAACTACATATTTATGGAGTACAGTGTAATCATTTAAGACATGAATATAGTGAGTAAAGATCGAATTAGGGTAATTAGCATTTCTATCTCTTCAAGTATTTATCATTTCTTTGGGAGCTTTTTAACCCCTTTCTTTAGTTCTTTATAAAACATACACTTAAATTGTAAATTATAATCATCCTATTTGTTTTGGAACACCAGAACTTAGACCTCCTACCTAACTATATTTTGCTTTCATTATCTGACTCTTCTTTATCCCTTTTCCCACTTGCTATTGACCAATATTCTACCCTCACCTTTTTTGAGATCAGCTTTTTTAGCTTCCACTTATGAGTGACAATAGTCAGCATTTGTCTTCCTGTGCCTAGAGTACAAAAATAATTTTTTTTTTGTACTGGGGATTGAACCCAGGGCCTTCCCACTGAGCTATATCCGCAACTTTTTCTTATTTTTTTATCTTAAGACAAAATCTCACTAAATCACCAAGTGGCCCAGGGTGGGCTTGAACTTGTGATCCTCCTGCCTTAGCCTCCCAGAGTAATGGGATTATAGGTATGCGCCACCATGCCTGGCTGAAATAATATTAATTTGTAAAAACACTGCTTCCCTACAGTTTTCTGAGGACCTTAACATCTACTTGGGCCTTCCTGGGTCTCTGTTGGCCCCTGGGGGGGGGGGGGTTCTTTCCTCACCTGAGCTGTTGTTTCTAGTCTGTTCTGGCTCTAGATCTTCTCTAGCATCCCCAGTTGCTTCAAAGGGTTCAAGGGTGGCCCTCCCTCCTCATTCTCCCTACCTCTGAACTCTTGTTTGTGATGACACATTCCAGCCACCCTTGGAGGAAAGGGGAAGAAAGGAGGGGCCCCCGCATCCCTAAAGCTGAGCAAGTGTTAAAACCCTGGACACTAAGAGGTCCCTGCAGATAACGGGTTAATTGAGCTGTGCAGATGCAGCCAAAACATAAAGTACCAGTGCTGGGACAAATTGCGTAAGCCCCTGGCAGCATGGCCACATAAGAGTTGGGGAAATGTTCACCAGCCCTAAAGGAGCCAGGGTGATCTACATAATAAATTTTCGGGGAAAGAAACATAGATGTTGGCACCGGCTGCAGATAAGGACAGGACAGCATGAAGCAGGCCAAGTCCTGGAATGGGAAGTACAACCCTAAAGAGGTGTTTTTGGTGCTGCTTGGCTGGTTGGTGCCAATACGGTCATTCTGGTGATCCGCAGCACCCAGGACTGGAATGTAGGGCAGTTTGTCTTTTTCTTCCCTTCTTTTTCTTGTGGACTTAGCTTGAAGCTTTTCTTATTTCTTTATCTCGTCCTCCCTCCACTTACTGTCCTCTGACTTAAGAGCACATCTCAGACTCTACCAGCTCAAGCTCAGGGGGCAGAGCAAGAATGCGTTCTGCACATTTTATCTCAATGTTGTACCAGCCAGAGGAGGTGTGAGGGGAGGGAAAGATGGGGTGGAAATCATGTACACACAGACTTGCACACAACTTCACACACCTGTTGTGCACAATCCACAAACACACAACCCCACGGTCACACACAAACTCTTCAAACGTACAGACCACACACACCAGAAGTGAACTCCATGCATGCAACACTAGTCACACAATTCTTACACACACAGACATACACTGGCCATATTCATGGACACCATCAGACACCCAACCACATACACACTTTCTTGTCCTGCACGAGTTAAACTCCATACAATAATTTTCATACAGTTCTTTCACACACACACACACACACACACACACGCACACCACTAGAACATAAAATACAAAATATAAGGCAAATTCATCCTGACATTCAGACACTCAGCCACACACAGCTAGCTCTTCCAGAGGGCAACTCAAAGCACAAATTCCGTCTCACTTGCACACGCGCGCGCACACTCACATCTAAACCTTCTTTGCAGTGGCGGCCGAAGTCTCATCCACAGCAGGTGTGCCTGGAGTTGATGGATTAACTCCTTGAGAGCAGAAGCCTAGCCCTGAGGACAGAGGTGGCCCCGGGCTCAGGGAGGGGTGGATGGAAGCAAGCTGGAGAGCTGAGGCCCGCGGCTGAGGGGTTGGGGAGAAGGGCAGGTAGACCCGGGGAAACCGTGGCGAAAGAAAACTCAGCAGGGCGACCCAGGGTACAGCCGCGCCGACCACCTAAGGAGAAGAGAGGAGCAGAGACTAAGGGCATAAGAGAGGTGAGGGTGTGGGCGCAGGGGGCGGCCCTCCAGCCCGACCCTAGCGTGCCCCGATCCCCGCCTGCCCCGAACCCTAGGGCCCTAGCGCACGCCGCGGTCGCCCCACTCACCGGTGCCCGGAGCGGCGGGGGCGGCCTGCCTGCCTCGGCCTTCGCGCTGCTTCCGGATGCAGGAGCCAGAGCCTGGCGAAGCGCCCGGCTGGGGCCGCAGGGACCCGCCAGGGACGCACAGCGCGGACGGCGAGGCGAGTGGACCGCGGAAGCACCGGCGCGCAGCCGGGACGCGCTGTGTAACCGGCGGGATCCGGGCTGGCTGTGCACTCACGTGGGCGCGGGGGCACGGGGGGCCGGGGGAGGGGGCGGGATCCCTCGGGGATGGCCCCCCGCCTCCCACCCCGCGCCCAGCTCAGGCTGCGCAAGCCGCGCGGGAGCCAGGGGACCGCGTGCTTGGAGAGGGACGGAGGAGGGGACTCAAGGTGGCGGGGGTGGTGCCCTCTCCACGCTCAGCCTCCGCCCCTACTCGGAGCCGCGCCCCCTGCACCGCCTGCCTCGGAGCCAGCCGGGGCCTGAGCCTCCCTGGGGTCCACGCCCTGGTCCCACCCCGCATCGTCCACCGAGGCCGGGGCCAGGACTGCAGCTTCTCCCTTCGGACCCACTTTCCGGGCTGGGCCCCTCGCTGTGCGCCTTTGGGTCAGCCCCTCTCCTTCTATGAGCCCTGCCCTCCTCGTCTAAACGAGGGAGATGACTTGGCCGACCCCAGAGAAAATCAAAGCTGAGAAAATTAAAGAAGCGCCCGGGCATGGAAATGCTCTGTGCAGTACGAAGCGTTGTGCAAACGGCAGGCGAATCATTGCTGATCGGATTGTAATTAATAGGATGCTTTTCCATTTCGCATCAGGGTTGCGAAGTAGATCTCCTTTTCCTCTCAAATGGCACCGAATTGGTGGCTTCCAACATCTTTCGCCTCTCCTGTGAGCTAAAGCCATTTACAGAGCTGAGCCGAGAGCCCGGCAGGTGCATAAAAATTCACATTCATTTTTGTAACAATGTAAAACACTTTCATTATTATTACAGTGTAATACAGTTCATTATTATAATATATTCACGTTCATTATTACGTATTATACACATTCGGTATTATCATTGTTGTTACTGAGCAATTGTTGATGGCAACCTCCTGCATTAGGGAGGCTCGTTTACTTATATTTCATCTATGCACCCTGTGAAGTAGATATCAAGGCTTCTGTTTGCTAAAGAGGGGAAAGGAACTCAGAGAGGTTTGGTAAGCTTCCCAAAGTCACGTAGCCAAGGGGCAGCTGCCCTAATTCCCACTCTTTGTACACAGCCCTGCCTCTGACTCTTGAACCCCCTTCCTAAATGGGTGGTTCTCAAATTGAGCTGTTCCTGACAGCCATCAGGAGAACATTTAAAAATCCTGATACTCAGGCCACACCCCAGATCAGTTAAATCAGTTTTCCTAGGAATGGAGCCCAGATATTGATGTATTTTAATATGCCCCAAGTGATTCCAAAGTGTAGCTTTTTTTCTATTCCAAATGTCAGATTGCCCCGGGCCACACTGGCCTCCCACTGCCTTCACCTCAGGCACTGGCTGTGTTCTGAAGTTCTGCTTCCTTTTCCCCACCTGGGCCTGCTCCCGAGCACCTGGTTCCTGCAGTCATCTACCCCATAAGTACTTATTTTGCATCCACGGTGCCAGGTTGTGCTAGAGGCTGAAGATGCAGTAGGAAATGCTTGCTTTGTTACATAAAATACTAAGGAAATAGTATAGAAGTTCTCCAACTCTTGGGTCTTCCAATCCCTTTAGGTTCTTAAGAATAAGAAGGGATCCCAAAACACTGTATCTCGAGTTTAATCTTGAGAAAAACATTCGACCAAAAGAAGGAAGAAGGGCATCCTACAATCTACCCGACCAGTCTTCCCCAAAACTGTCAAGTTCAGAAACTGTCACAGCCAAGAGGAAGCTAAAAAAAATGTGACAATTTAACGTAAAGTGGGATCCTGGAACAGAAAAAGGCCACAAGCTGAACAACCCTAATCTGAAATGCTCCAAATCTAAAGCTCTTTGAAAGCTGGTAACATACCACAGGTGGAAAATTCCATATCTGACCTCTTATCCGTCGCAGTCAAAATGCAGTTGCTCTAAAAACAATGTACAGCATTATGTTCAGACCATGTGTATAAGATGCCTATGAAACATAAAGGAATTTCATGTTTAATTGTGGTTACCATCCCCCAAAATATCTCATTATAGTATATATGTATATATTCCAATAGTCCAAATTCTGGGAAAAAATCTAAACTTGGGAACATTTCTGATCCCAAGTATTGTATTTCAAATAAGGGATATTTAACTTATGTCAGGGAAAAAAACTGAGGAAAATCTAAATAGAGTGTGATCTTTAGTTAATAATAGTATATTCCTATAGTAATAGCTAATAATTACATATTGATGTTCATAGTATTTAATAATGTAAAATATAAATATAATAATGTATCAATATTACAATATGGTAATTGTATTAATGTACCATCAGAGTGAAAAATATTCATAATAGATAAAAGTAGGCCAAGGGGGGTATATGAGGACTCTCTATGCTATCTTTTTTAATTTTTCTGTAACTCTAAAACCATTCTAAGAAACAATGTCTTAATTTAAAAGATCAAGGAGAATCCCAAAGAACTTTGGTTTAGGTTGACTACACCTGTTGTTCTTTATTATAGTCAAAATTAAAACTGAAAAAGTTTGTAAATATTTATTCATTTTAACATAACCAGAAGAAACCCACTACATGTCAATGTTAAATAGCATACTTTTATGAAAAATAACTATATTTTCCAGAACTAGACAAAACTAATGAGTGACATTGTTTTCCACTTTCTCAAATTGCTTTAAAGTCTAGCTTAATAGAATAAAGAGTTCTCGTAGTTGATCGTCTATATTCTTAAATTCTATATATATGGTAGTCACCACCTTATCCAATTTTGCTTTCCACCATTTCCAAAAATATTAAATGGAAAATTTCAGAAATAAGTAATTCCTAAGGTTTAAACTGCATGCTGTTCTGATTAGCATAAGGAAAGCTCACGCTGTCCCAATCCACCCTTCCTGGGACAGGAATGATCCTCTGCAGTGTATACACTCTGTATACACTACTCACCTCTCAGTTACTTAGTAGCTATCTTGGTTATCAGGTCAAAAATGCAAATCAAAACCACAGTGAGATATCCTCTCATGCCTGTTAAAATAGCTACTACTATTCAAAAGACAAAAAAAAAAAAAAATCCAGGCATGGTGGCACATGTCTGTAACTCCAGCTACTCAGGATGCTGAGGCAGGAGGATTGCAAGTTCCAGACCACCCCGGGTAACTTATTGAGACCCTATCTTAAAATAAAAATTTAGAAAGGTCTGGGTATGCATCTCAGTGTAGAGGATTTGCCTCACATACACAAGGCCCTGAGTTTAATCTCAGTACTGCAGAAAATTAAAAGACAAAAGAAAACACGTGTCCTTGAGAATATGGAGAAAGGAGAACCCTGTATACCACTGGTGGGAATGTAAAATAGCACGATCACTGTGGAAAACAGTATGGAGGTTTCTCAAACATTTAAAATAGAATTGCAATAGCTCTCTCACTCCTGGGTATTTATCCAAAGGAAATCTTTAAAATATGCTCAGCGAAAGAAGCCAGACACAAAGCATGTCAAAGAGAGAGATGCCCACCCGTGTTCATTGCAGCATTATTCACAACAGGCAAGATACTAGAGCAACCAAGGATCCATCAAAGGATGAATGGATAAAGAAATCTGGGGGACTTATAGAAGTGCAATGAGCCGAGCAGAGACAGACAAATGGTCTCACTTATGTGGGGAATGGTTACTGGAGGACAGAGAATGGGAGGATTGGGGAAATGTCGAGCAAAAGATACCAAATTTGAGTTAGCTAGAAGTGAGTACCAGAGATCTATCCTACAACATAATGACAACACAGTGATTATAGTATATAATGACATATTGTGTTCTCAAAAACTGCTAACAGAGATTTTAAGCGTTCTTGCCACAGAATGATAAATTTGTGAAGTAATGCATATGTTAATGAACAATATTTAACTATCTTACCATGTTTGTATGTATATTTTGATATATAAATATATACATTTCAAAACATATTATATGTGATAAATGGTTACAAATTTAGCTATCAGTTTAAGTAAAATAAAAATGTAAAACATTCACACCTTGGAGTCTGGGATTTAGCTCCGTGGCACCACACTTGCCTTGCAATTGCAAGGTCCTGGGTTCAATATGTGGTACCAAAAAAAAAATTCACACCTTAAAAAAAGTATGCTCCATGAAAAAAGGCAGACGCAAAGGTCACATAGTGTACGGGTTTATTCGTATGAAATATCCAAATAGGTAAATCCAGGGAAACAGTTTAGTGGGTGCGGGAGCTGGGGTAAGGGGAAGCGGTGACTGCTAAAGGGATCAGAGTTTCCTGTAGGGAGATACAAACAGCACGGAACCAGATGGGGTGAAATTTACACAACATCTGGAATTATATAGTAAATATCTGGAAATATATAGTAAATGCCACTGAAATGATTCATTTTGTGTGATTCGAATTTCACCTCCATGAGACAAAAGTCAGAGAGTGCCCAAATACTTAACAGTTAAGATAAACAATATTTCAAATAGTTTCTAATAGTGCAAACTAGACTAAAATAAAAGCAGCACATTTACCAAAAAGTCACCTCTAACATATCCAGCATTATAAGAGGTAGTGTAGCAAAACGAATACATAAAAAAATTCACAAAGAACAAGGATTAGCATGGTACATAAAAATAGGATCAGGATTCTTAGCAATTCTTAGCGAGGTGTGCTGGCTCAGGCCAGTAACCCCAGCACTCTAGGAGGCTGAGGCAAGAGGATGTCAAGTTCAAGCCCCAGGCAATTTAACAACTTAGTGAGACCGTCTCAAAATTAAAAGTAAAAAAAGGTCTAGGAATGTAGCTCAGTATAAAGATCCTGGGCTCCATCCCCAGTACTGGGGGTTTAAAAAGAATCAGAATTGCTGATTTTTCTTTCTGCTTCAGCCTCCCATGTGCTTAGTTATGTGGGATTACCGATTCCCTTGTTAACATTTTGATATTTCGCTCGCCATGGATATTTTTTGGCATTCGTTTTGAAGAAGGCTTTACTGATATTGAAACATGATTTAGCTAATTGCTGAGTATGACATTTTACACACCAGGCAAGTACTTGGCCCTGTGAATCTCTTGTTCTCAGGTCCTCTTACGGATACAGAAGGGTCTCAAGGAGGTTAAGTA